TTTTCTGGAACGTATGGATCGACGGTGCTTCTTATTTTCTCGTATCCGATTTTTTTATTAATCGAATTTAGTTATTGCTAGCGATGGGAGATGGCGCTGCATACTTTCTTGTCAAGCGCTGACTTTACTTCTTTTCCGGCGATCGATAGATTCCTGTGTCTGACACGAATTCAGCCTTTTTTTGTATTCTGCCCTCTAGTTACGAAGTCAAACTTATCTCATACGAAATAAAAAAATTAATATCTTTTAAAGTTTTGTATTTATGTTTTATGTTTATTAGCAAATAAATCGCCAAAAAATTTTGAAATTAATTTATTCAATTAAAGAAATTTAATCGTGGTGTCAATGGTAACATCTCGTAGCTAATAAACTTTATGACTCGATTTAGGTAATTATTCTCGCTTTAATTTACGCAATGATTTCTCTTTGCTGCTGAAAATAATAAAAATAACATTTGAAAAAATTATATAAATGATTCTTATATAGAATTTACGCTAATTTTAACTGACCTTATTGTGAGTTTTCGTAAATTCTTTTGACAAAATTCGCCGATTTCGATCAAACTTCATGTCAAATGTTGGGCAAAACTTTGCAAATCTTTTTTCGAATGTATTAAATCAGTGTTTCTCAACGGGGGCGATATCGCCCCCATGTGGGCGTTTTTCCATGTTGAAGGGGCGATTAGTAACAATTTATATTTTGGGGGGCGAAAAACAATTTTCTGGGCGATATGGTAAAACATTATATTAAGAATAATTAGATATTTTATTCGTTATATCGTACAATAATTAAACAAATAACATTATACTAGTCACTAGTCTATTCAATGCAGTACGAATTTGGCGTTAGTCTTGGTCCTCGGCATCGGAATTTTGAAGTGAAGGGGGCGATAATAGGTAACGGTTTTATTGAAAGGGGCGATACTACGTTGAAGAGGGCGACGATTCGTTAGAGATTGAGAAACACTGTATTAAATGATGTCAGATTGAATATTATTTGATGTTCTTGAAGATTAAAACAGCAACCATAGCCGTCTCTCGTCATAGGTCCATATCCGATGATTATATTATATTTGGAATTAATCTAAATATAAAGAAATTTCAACTAAAAAAATAAGCAAATCGCGACTTTTAACATAAATTTACATGCTTAATGCATGTAAATTTATGTTAAAAGTATGCATGTAAATGTTTCTAAAATGACTTAGGCAAATGTCGTTACTCCGAGCAGCAATATGCCAGTGTGAACCTTTTTCGGGAGGTTTCTTTTCAATAAAATTAGTCACTTTCTGATTATTCCTCAAGATTTCCTTTATCGAGCGAGATCCTTCCACGACGAAGCAAACACGCGGACTGAGACCGATGAACAGAAGTGAATAAAAAATGGCGCTGCGAACTAATGTAACGTCGTATGGTGAGTTTTTGTTCGTATCGTGGAGCAAAAATATGTTCGAATTTCATGTCGTATCCTGAAAATTTCGTATGCTGGGGCGTTCGTATCCTGAGGTACCACTGTAT